AGGGTGCAACAATGAATGAATGGAATTCCAAAATCTCTGTAGATGTTCACTGAAATGAAAAATAAATTAAAATATTTAAAAAAAAGAAATATAGATTAACTTAAAAACATCAGTCACTCTAAAGGTACATACACACATTATGAAAAGTATTGTTTCAGCAAAAGTCTCACCACTATATTTCCCTTTAACATGGAGCTTCTTTGGCATTTCAGTATATGGCCTTCAAACAATAACATCTTCAAAAGATTTCTTTACACACAACTTTCCACCTGCGGGATTTATGTTTTACTGTGTGTTAAAAGTAATTAATGGAATTAAAAAATAATCCCTTGAAATATATTCAAGTTTTCAAGAGTTTCTGGGCTATGATGACAACACAGATTATGATACTGTTTACGGATCTAAATCCAAAACCTTGGGAGGGAGAATACAAGAATGTCTTACACTGTATCTTAGTATAATTTTTATGGTGTGAGCAGGGCAGGAATGATAAAATATTTCAGCTTAAACAAAAATGATGAACCTAATATTGAGTTTTTCAGCAATTATACAGTATGATACAGCAATGTTAAAATACCGTATACTTAAGAATCTACCAATCTTCTATTAAATCAATAGAGATCTGCAGAAGTAAATTATGTTAATGAGAGCAACTCAAAAAAAGGATAAAAATGCACAATCCAAATAATGTAATCAATGTCCTTGAAACTGCTGAACTGATTGTTTAGCTGTAGATAGTCTCAACAAAATTAAAACGTTACCATTAAGTGAAGAGATTTGCAGAAGTGGAAAACAATGTCCCTTCATTAACATGTTATTTTATGTTAATGAGCAATAAATTAAAAATTTAAAAGATAATGTAAAAAAAAAACCCAAACAAAACACCCAAAGCTATCTTTAGTTTCCTTAAAATCCAAGTCAAGATGGATGGTGGCCTATCAGCGATAAATTCAAACCAACATGAGTGGGTCTTTTCATAAGGATAAAGCATCTGCAAAAAGATTTTCTGACCATTAACTTCTACGTAATAAATTATGATGCATCTTCAATTCCAACTTGGCAAGCTGATTTACAAGGATCTTTTACTGATTGTATCAAACTGTACAAAAACTATGTCTGAAAGTAACTTGCCTGAATCGACTCAGCAAAAGCAGCGTCCAGCGGCAGAACTTAAAATATTTGCCATTACCAAGCCCCTTTCACAAGTACTGCGGTCTCGGCCCCTCCTTTGAACAGATGTCTGCTTCGCTGAAGTCCAATCAGGTTTAAAGCATGAAGTTATGTGTACTGAAAATAAGTTTGAAGTGGAAAACACACGCAAAGCAGGCCTTTCTTTGGTTTCCGTTTTACAAGCTGCACCGCTGAGACCAGGCAGAATTTAACAAGGTTGGAGCGGTTCAATGAAACACAAAAAATACGTAACAACTGTGACCGGGCAGAAATGACCTAGCAAAACTGTCAACTTATTTCCCTAAGTCGTACGCCCGCGGGCCAGCAAAGACCCTAACACATAAGTCCGGAGCATCCAGAAAGGCTGGCTCTGTCCCCTGAAGGGATGCAAGCACCCGCGGCTGAGTTTGTTGCCGCGAGGCCGGGCAGGGCTCTCCAGTTAATCCTCTCCCAGCAGCCCGCTCTCGCGGCGGCCCGAGCGCCTCCCGGCCCCGCGGGCATCGCAGCACAACGCGCCACGGGCCCACGGCCCGTTCCCCGCGCCGGGAACCCGGCGGGGCCACCAGGCCGCTCAGACAAAGGGTCAGACGGCTCCGGAGAGAGACGAACGCCGAGCCTGGGCTGCGCCTGCCTGCTTTCCTCTTCCGCCCACCGCCCGCCTCTCGGCGTCCGCGGAACTCCCACCACCCCGGCACGATTCCGTCCCGGCCCCACCATAAGGGACTGATCCGGTGGAAAGCTACGGGAAGGCCGCGGCGCGTTAGGGCCGAGGAGGGGGCGGCGGCTGCCACCATGTCTGCCCGCCCCTCCCAGAAGCGGGGTGCCGAGCGGACAAAGCACGGCGGCAGCGCGGGCGGAGCGGGGGCCCAGGCCGACCCCGCCGACCCCCACGGAATAAGCGGGGCCAGGAGCCCCGGAAACCCGGCGCCTTAATGCAATAAACAGGAAATCGCGGGGATGATCTGGGTTCCGGGGGAAGTGGAATTATTTTTTACCAGCGAAGAGATCAACTTCCACATCCGGTGGTAACAGGGCCCTACACAGACCCGCACTGACCTGGAAAAGCTTCGGAAGGGGAGACCGGGGAGCAGCAGGAGGTGATGCAGGGACCCGAGGAGCCTCGTACCCGGCCGGGTTAACGCGGCCCCGCTACACACAAAGCGCTTCAGCTGCACAGGGCGCTATTTTCCGAAAATGCCGCGTCTGGTCGGCGCCCAAAATCCCCACCGAAAAGTCCCCCGTGCTGTGCGCGGAGGAACACATGGTGTTTCAGTGAGTCAAAGCTCCCAGCATCCCTCCCGGCCCTCTACGCCACAGCCCTTTCCGCCCCTCCCTTATCTGCAGCTCCTTCTTACACCCACTCTACGGCCCTTTTCTAGCGAGAGAAAGGAAAAGAGATGTGATTTTTCATTTTAACGGAGGAAAGGAAAATAAGTCATTTCTAGAGCTTCAGCTACACAAAGAAACGGCGGAATGATCTGCTCTCCACGACCGCAAGTCCCGGCTAGCCCGGCGCCTGCGCGGCAGCGGGTGTGGGAGCTGCGGCCGGCCATGTGCGCGGCGGAGTTGCCGGCTGCTCCGCGGCTTTTTCCCGCCTCTTTCTGCGTTGGGTTTGTGTTAGAAGTCTTAACCACGCCATTTCTCCGGCATAACCGTTGAAATATGGTAAATCCGGACTCCTTGGAGTTTAAGCTTAACAACTCTACCACCTAGCAGGCTTCCTGGGAGACGCAAGAGCATCCGAGAGGCTAGGCTTGAACTTTGGTGGCTCTAGGTTTTCAGCTAGGCGGACGGGGAATGGGAATCGCTGTTGAGGTCCAAGGTGAGGAACGAAGGCTGTTCCTTTTCCACTTCGCATAAATGGAGCAGTCTGTTATGTTGAGAATGTACCGATCACTCTATGTGTTTTTTAAAAAATTAAACCTTCCCTATGATGTGTCATACTTCGTAGACCCTAAAAACAGCTTTCTGAATCGCTAATACTATCACTTCAACAAGTAGGTAGAAATCTGGTTTTCTCATAGCTAGAGTGTCAAGCTGTTGTGTTTTATTATGAAATTAGCGAAATTTTATTTTAAATAGGGGTTTTTGTACTTTGGTGAAAAATATTCCAGCTTTTACATGTGTGATTTACCTAGGATCCCAGCACTGGTATGGTTTTAGTAGAGAACTTGGAATGACTTTCCAGCTCACCAACAAGGCAACTTCTGTCAAGATGTTAGGAATATCAGGGGTAATGCCAAAAATTTTAACAAGAGGAGCAGATAAGTTGTATAAATTGTATAGACCTGATTTTTGTATGAACTTAAATATCTTTTCTCCAAGTACCCAGTTGTAACATTGATATAGTGAAGATGTGTATAACTTATTAAAGCATTATACCTGAAATAGATGGAGAGTTTAAGTAACCTTTAAAAGAAACCCTAATGCCTGGGATTCTTGTTGGGGGGAAACAGTCCATCTTTCTCCTGAGAAACAGCTCGTGGATTTGAACCTCTACTCATCAGTTAGCAGGGCAGTGCTATCATACTGCATGACCACAACTCCTTATAAATCACTAAATGTTGTGTTTTCCTTGGGTTGTATTGTTTCAGTTGGTAAACGTTTGTCAGTTGTTTTTTTAAATATTACTATTTTTTTGTGTGTGTACCATCAAATTGTATCTTACTGGTACAGGAAATTGTCCCTCCTTCTCCAGCAGAGCATCTGGTAGATTAGAACTGCATACCTCTTTGATTGCAATACAGCTTCCTGCCATTAGGCCATTAGAGCTTGCCTCTTTGTCAGATTTTTAACATACTGTTCTTTTTTTTATTAAATTTTATTAATTTTAATGAACATTTACCGAGATTTTGGGTTTCCATTCATTCATTGTTGCACTATTTTGTCTATCCTCCCCCCAGTTCGTTCCTCTTTTTTTTTCCCCTTGAAAGTCTGTTTTAATTGCCACAGTGCTTATCAAAGCCAGCTCTGATTAATCTCCTTTGTCAGTGTGTCCTTTGCCATTCCCTATCACTCCTCCCTGAGAGAGACTTCACCCTGATTCATAAGAAAAAGGGGTCAGTGTATTCTCTTAGCTACTTCCTGCTGAAAAGGGACACTGTAGGTTTCAGGGTGAAGATCTTCTTTCACTAAAGGGCCCCTTTGGCAATAGGAAACACGTAGACTAGTGTGGAGATTGATTTTGGAATTTAGATGCACTCTTATCAATTGTACTTAGCCATACATGTTCGTTTCCTTTAAGATGTATCATGGAACTGTTACAGCCTGGAAGACACAAATTTAACTAACAAGTTAAAAGTACATGAGTCAAAAATTAAAAGCAATGGCAAGCTCTGGTGGCCTAGTGGCAAGAAGGTGTACTGCAATTGCAGAGGTGCACGGTTCAAATCCACCAGATGCTTTGCTGGAGAAGGAGGAACAATCTCCTCCTGTACCAGTCAGATCTGATTTGACGGTACACACACACAAAATAATAAAACTAAAAAAAAAAATAAGTGCTCGCTTCGGCAGCACATATACTAAAATTGGAACGATACAGAGAAGATCAGCAAGAAGTGTTCCATATTTAAAAAAAAAATTAAAAGCAATAATATTCCAAATAGAGGTTCTAACAGTGACACAAATCAAGTTACAGAGGGAAGGTAGTTCTTAAAAGGCTTATTGACTAGAACCTTGTCTATTAGAGTGTAAAGGTTAGGAACCACAAGATGTAGAGACTCAACTATGTCATTTATTCTTAAAAACATACTGTTCTTAACATTCTGTTTATTCATTTGTGGTAGATTTTCCGTAATAAGGCTATAGTTGTTTGCCCTTCTAATGTTACACTGTAGAAGTCAGCTGGCATCATCAGTAGTGGGAAGGAAGTTAAGTTGCTGAATACTCAAGAATGAGAAGGAACTCATTCACCTGGGTAAGTAGAGGCAGAGGGAGAAATGGAGTGCTACTAGAGAAGTAATTAACGTTAATAGGAGAATTTGAGAGGAACCTTCATAGACAAATCAGTAGGCTCATTTGAGTGAAGAAGAAAATTTCATTTCCTTTAAGTTGTTCCCATGAAAGGCCTCGAATGCAGTATTCTGGAATTTGCTTCTAAGAGCTAGTAGGAAGTTGAGAGAGATTGTTAGGTGTCTTCTAGTCAGCTCAGACTTTTGAGTAACCCTGTGGAAACCTTGGTCCAGTGCCATCCACACAATCACTGCTAAAGATCATATCAGGAACATGGGACCAGATACAGAATGCACAGTATTTGTATTTGGTGCAGAACGGTGTGAAACAGTATTCAGATGTTGAAGGATTCTTTTTTTTTTTTTTTTAATTTTTTTTTTATTATTTTTGTGTGAGTGTACCGTCAAATCAGATCTGACTGGTACAGGAGGAGATTGTCCCTCCTTCCTCAGCAGAGCATCTGGTGGATTCGAACCGTGCGCCTCTGGGATTGTAGTTGCAGTTCCTTGCCACTAGGCCACCAGAGCTCCCCATGATGTTGAAGGATTCTAATGCAAGATATTTTTTCTTTTTTATAGTGTGAAGCAGTATTCTAGAAAGGTGTTTTTCTAAGACTAGTGAAGAACTGAAGGAGTCCTGCATCTTTTTTTTTAATCTGCTTTTATTTAAAAAGCCAGTGTTTCTCTGCTTCATAGGTGTTCTGCATTTAAGATGTTGTGGAATCTTTGCTGTTCACCAGATACAACCTCTTAGTTCTTTACAATCGGGATGGGCGGGAAAGGCATGCAAAAATTAACATTGAAATTTTGAAACAGAGTGATTGACTTTTATTTTTGTTCATTGTTAGTGGGTTTTTTTTAAAGGAGGGAACCACCCATATAATTACTTGTGGACACCTTGCACTTGTGGTCACTACCTTTGGGGAGGGGTGGGATAGGAAAGAGAGTAACTAACAATAGTCCACATGTCCCTGGCATTCTCTTCAGAGTAAGAAATATTTTATGATTTTTAAAGTAAGTTTAGTGAACCTAAAGAAAAATAATCAGAGTGAGAGTAGGCTATAAATGGTGGTGAGTTAAAGAAAGAAAGAATTGTGGATGATAATTGTAAAAAACAGGTTTTGGATGCTAGAGGAGGGAAAGAAGGAAACTCAATTCTGTTTCTTTGTATGTTGAAATGTTCTACAATAAAGACTTTTTAAATAAATTATGATTGTGAAACTAATGGCTTTAATTACAATTTTATTGTCTCATAATTATTCAATACGATTGTCTTAAACAGTCCAGAATATGAGGTGCATTACAGAGTGGATTGGAGTGAGGGGAGGAAATTGTGCATCAGTGAATGAGTGTTAAAAGAAATACTGAGGGTGCGAGAGAGGGAAAATATGTAACAATGACTGAATAAAAATAGAACTTTTCTGTAAACTTTTCTTAAAATCACAGTTTTTAAAAAATTATTGTCCTCATGGGTAGCTATAACTAACCAAGCATGGAAATTAAAATATTGAATGGTAGCATACATAAACTTCAAATGTTAAGCACTATTTTGTTGTTACGTACCACAGAATTGAGTATGACTCATAGCGACCCGATGCAGATCTGAACCCTATTCTATCTTGGCCTATCCTCATCATCTCTGACACACTAGAGCAGATTGCTGGAGTCACTGTGTCAATCCATCTCATCAAAGACCTCTTTTGTTCACCTTTCTAAGCATGATACCCCTTTCCAAGGAATAGCCTCTCCTAGCAACTTGCCCAAAAGCTGGACAGTGTATAAGGATGACAAAAGAGTTATTGATGCCACTGAGTTGTAGTGTTGGGCAAGAGTAATGACTATCCAAGGACTGCCAGAAAAACAGGTCTTGGAGAAGGTGCAGCCAGGTTGCTCCTTGGGGTCAAGGATGACAAATCTTCATCTCACGTGCATTTATTTAGCTGCTACCAAATGCTTTCACAAGCTTTGGAGCCCTGGTGGCCTAGTGGAAATAAGTTGTACTGCCAGCCTAAAAGCATGAAGTTCAAGTCCACCACTATTCCTTAGGGTGAAAGACTCCTGTGTGATCTGTGGCCTCTTAAAACCTACTGGAGGGTCAGCTATCAGTTCCAACTTAACAGCACATAACAAATACTTTTACACAGATCATCTCGTTTTCTCTCTGCACAATGCCTTCAAGTCAGTTCCAACTGATTGACCCTCTGCCAGGTTTCTAAGACTGAAAATCAGAATGGGAGACCACTCATCTTCCAAAAAATAGTTGATGGATAAAAACAAACGTAATCTTTTAATTACCTGCACAACACATTACTGACACTGACACCAGATCTCCCTTTCTCTCTGCAAAGGAGATGTTACATTCACAAATGGGGAGTTAATAAAAAGTTTTAAAAATAGCAGAATAAGGATTTTTTTTTTTTACCCATTGAGTGTCCCTAAACAATTTCTGCTATTAATATGCTACTCCTGAGACGTGACTGGTTATCTTTCTCCCATGCTGTTTTTTGAGTAGAATA